TAATGAATAATACATTTCACGTCGAACAACTAAATATATAATAAAATAAAAATGAATAATTTGAATAATTCTACTAAAATTGTATATGTAATTATCCCAACGAAACTATTTCATGAAAACATCGACGTCAGTGGATGAAATAATAATAATTCTACTTGCATATATTTAAGAATCAAATATATAGGTACAATAATTTGTACGCTATACAAATAATATTCTGTATAACTGTGAACTGTAATCCTGTACTAGCTATTTAATTACGATAATGGTTAATATTATCAATACAAGATTCAACTAATGGCTAGAAATATCGTAAACTCAAAAAACATATTCAAAAACTTTAGATTTATCTCATTCAAATTTTTTTTTTTTTTTAAATCCTAAACACATCTCAATATCATTAACTGCAATTATAAAACACACGAATAATTATATTTACATTTTGTTAATATATGGATGAACATAATAAATATGCATTTTATTTATAACCGTTTAAGCACAATGTCTCAAAGAAGACATAATTTAAAACGGTTTTCAATAAAATATCACGTTCAGTTATAATATTAAAAATACGAAAGGATAAAAACATTATTAATATTTATTATACAATATACCAGTGTGGAGAAAACGTTTTCAAATAATTATTGTTTATTCGACGTTTCTAACCGTACTTTCATTAGGCAATAAATTAACTAAGTTAGATAATGTTATCTAATATTTAATATCATAATATTGTACTATTGATATTTTAAAATTATTTAACGTTGGTGGTTTTAAAACACGACGAATAGAACGAATAGCGTAGGTTCGTTAAATACGTATTTATCCGTTACAATATATTAATTATAGTCGTATACATTTTTAATAAGCCGCCGTGTAATGAGTTGATCTTGCGGGCGTGCTCAAACACTGAAAACAAGTCCGCGGTAGTGGTCTTAACCCCTAAAACCGTTATAATACTTATACTCCTCGCGTAGAGTATTATAAGTCCACACGCATACACACACACAAATCCCCACTTATCGCCCGCGTGTTACATTCGTCTTGCTGCCGGACAATTTACTCTCGGGACGTTTTCAAAAATGTCCACCGCCACTAATACCGCACCACGAATGCCGCCAAACCACTACGATTACCGACTAAATACAACCTCCATTGCTACCGCCACCACGACCCCACCAGTATCAGTGTAACCCGTCCGACCCGCCGCGGATGACACCGTACTTCAACTATCAATTCGTATTAGATCCCCGCACGTTTCCGCACTGGACAGACGACAATTTATTAATAACCCGAATGTCTCTCGCATATTGTGATATCCTTGCTGGATAGTCGTTTGAGTGATACATCTTACATAGTATTATTACGTATGATTATTGTTATAATCCTTCGAAATTGTATCACTCGAACCTGTTAGCCTACAGACGCGGCCGCTAAACACAACCAGAGTGTTCATCTGTGTAGGTACGGCTTGAAGTGTGTGCAATACTATGATCACGATGGCAAATTTTCTTGGTACGCTATCAATCGGTGTGTTAACAACGACTATAATATTAAAATTTATTGCATAAATATCGTCAAAGTAAGTCTATAGTATCTATACGCAACATTAATGCGATACTATACGAAGGATGTCCGATATATTAATGAGATCGTAAACGTAATGGTATTTTATTTACATTATATTTATTATACAGTTTCATATTGCGTACTCGTAGTACTAACTTCGTTAAAACATATTACCAATAAATTAACCGCACTCCTAGTGTGTACCGACTTCAATATTATTGTATCTGAATTTTAATAAGCATCGAGGTTTAATCCGAGTAGGTATGACACATGCAACATTTCTGTATTTTTATAATTTTACAAAAACCCAATATTTTCGAATTAGTTATACTTACAAAATTTGTAAAATATATTGGATTTAACGTTGCCAAAAATATGAAATATCTTAGTTATCTAAGTTAACAAAACTTTTATACGATGTTTAGTTGAAATATATAACGGTTATTTATATCTTTATAAGTGTCTATACACTAGTGGTTTAATATATATTAAATAAATATGAATTTTTTTCTTTTACTTAAAAAATAAAATTGATTTTTTCGAAACCTAGTTATGTGAATAATTCTATGTTCTATTTTTATCAATTATTTTGAAAAATACTTAAATTTTTCAATTTTGACCACTGAAAAGTAAAATGTAGATCCAATTTTCAATCAGAAAACAACTTCATAATAAAAAGTTGAAACTTTTTTTCACTTTGTTTCATTTTTTCTATTTCAACAGACCTTTTTTAAAATTATCACAACCATCACTCCGCTCAAAGTCTTAAAGTAAATTGATAACTATAAATAATTGGTAAATTACATATTTTAAATCTAAAATAATACTATTTAAATTACAAAAATATTGCACAGAAAATTGTACACAACCGTATGATGTTTATTATAATTTTAATGTAATTCATTATTTGTTGAAAAGTAAAATGTATGAAATCATTTTCCAAAAAAATTATACTGTATGCAATCGAATAAAAATTGGTACACCCATTGAAAATATCTATTAACTTTCTATAAAACATTTAAGGTACATAATTTGAGTAGCTAAACTAAATCTCTATATTATCTGATCTCAATCTGATAATTAAATATGCTGATATCTCATTATTATTTAAACTGTAAAATTATTTATACTTATTAAATTAAATAGTACAATTATATTATATTATATTATTGTTATGATAATTGTATATTTTATGTATACTATAATATATTGTATTATATAGTGTTTTTTACATTATTAATTTTTTAAATAAATATGGTTTAAATTAGGAATATTATTAATTAAATAAATAGAGAATATTGTAAAATTTCTTTATTTAATTGATAAGAAATTAATATTATGTTATTAGTTGAAGAAAAATATCATTATTACACTTGGACCTAGGGTCTATAAAATCCAAAATCACCAAAGTAAACTTTTATTTTACCTTAGAAAAGTATATAGCTTTTATTCGACGCGTGTGTGTCGTTGAACAATTTCTTTTAATTATTTTGATAAAGTTTTGACTTCTTAGATGGTTGAAATGTGGTTATATAAGGACGTGGTAAGAAATAGTTCAACGAGGTATAACCATTATGAAAGGAAACTGAGTATTCGAACAAAGGTAACTTTCGAAAGAAAAGCTTTTGAAAAAACCTACCTATATAAACATTACATGAATTTAGACTTAAATATATAATATTATTAAGTCGTCAATTTTAACGTCACGAATATGTCGAATGTTTCATTTTAGTTTTGACCAATATTACTGAGGTTTAATGCAACGTATTATGTATAGATCAAATTGCGTTCATTTAAAAATGTGTTTTGCGAGGATCTATAAAGATTTGAACTGCTATAATTATTATATTTAATAATAAAATTGCTAAATTAACTGTGATAGAAAGTCAATTGCGTAGCTAGACTTTATTTAAAATTTGGAGACGATGATTATTTTACATTGTATACATTGTTTAAGGTTTTTTTATTAATTCAATCTATAAAGGAAGGAGGAGTAGAATATTGAACAATTTGCATTGGAAATAATATTTTTATGGTGAAATTTACCTAAATCAGTTAAATCTATGTATTATTGCTCTTTGACACAATTAATACATACTTAGCTTAAACTAGTTTCCTTACTCATCATCAGTCATTAAACCAAAACCATTGATATGCGAGCGGAACTGCGGAAAATAGTTAGTAGTATGTATACATTTATACTTGTGTTCAATTATAAAACATTTTATGAGAATTTCTGAATAAAATACTTTTATTATACGTCTTTACCGGGATATAGATATTTAAATGGTATAACTAGTTTTGCGCTTATTTTAACTTTACAAAACTTTTAGTAAATGTTAAAATTATCACATTTTTATATGTAAATCGAGAGAAAAAAAATACAATTTATAAGTGAACTCAAATTATTGTTTAAAGGGCTTACGGTACAAAATAAAATTATATAAGTTATTGTTATCATAATATTTTAGTTTAAACATGAAATAATAAATGTTTTATATTATATATTAGAGTTTACCATACAAGGAATACAAGTTCTGTGAAAAAGTTAACAAAATAATTTAAACAGAATGACTTTTTTTGATCTATTTTAGCCGGGTTATAAATGCAATTTAATATAGTATTGATGTGTTAAAAAAATAATCATAAGATCTTTGAACAATAATCTGAACGTTGCTTAAATAATAAAATATTCAGTCAGATGGCAATATAATTATGATTGGTTAAGATATAAATATTAAAAAAAAAATTAAGTTTATTACATATATATGTTTAAAGATAAATAATTATCATATATCACAGCAACAATGAATTTATATGAATTGTTTAACTTGCAATCATATTACAATGGTAATTGGTAATTATTTCAAATATATCAGGGGGTTTAAAATTATTAACATATTCATGTGTTCGATAGTTTAATAAAAACTATGACCTGTATACAACTTACATAATTTATAAACATAAATTTGTATTTACATTTTACATTAAATAGCAAGTCGGAAAAACCAGTGAGCCAACCTGGAAAAAAATTATAAGACGAACATTTTAGTTTTGTGCGTAATGAAATAGTATCATTACAAACGTCTGAATAAAAATCACCAAACTGTTTTGTAAATATAAGAAATTCGTTACGTAGGGGTAAGCGTGTGTAAGGATATACAGAATACACCTATTAAGGATATTACTTTTCAAACTCCTCTATGATCGATATGCTAAAAACGCATTTAAAAATTATGAAAAAATCGTGAAATTTAAACAAAATTTTGATATGTTTTGAAGTAACAACATTTTAAATTATAATACTATATATATTATCTTACTAATGTTGAGTACAAAAACAAGTGTCAAGTACTCGCATACAGCATTCTTTAACTTAACAGATTATTTTTTGTTAATTTTTTACATACAAATATAAATATTATTTCAACCTGTAAAATCATCGGTTGCGTATTTATTTGGCACATGTAACTTCCAGTATCGTTTTTTTGAACATTAAACACGTGTAATTTCCAAGTATTGTGTCCATTGTGAGTAACGGTCAGTCTGTGATTGTGAGCAATCAAATTCGTGTGGATGGCCAGAATCGCTTTAGAATCCGATTTGATCCAAGCCACCTGTAACAAAAAAAAAAAAAACATTCATAATTATTTTATTTTGTGGCAGAAGTATAATAAATTAGAATAATTTCAAAATATATCTAACTTAAATAATTTATTGTAATTTAAGATCTTATGTAATTATGTATACGCATATATTGTACGTATGAAGTATAAAATTATTTTCATTATAAAATAAATACAATATAAAATATTCTAAGCTATCATATATAATTGTTTTTTTGTATACCTAAAGGCTACAATGTTATATCAAATTTAATTCATCTATTTCAGTGATCCACTTAAAATCTATTATATTCTATTATATACACAATGGTATCCACTTACCCGCTTTTTTTTATTATTATTCAAGGTTATAATTTTAAAATAAATAAATTAATAGGTTAAATCAAAAGGAATAATATTTATCAATTATTTTATTGATAGTGGAAAAATGTTAAAACATTTCGTAGTAAGCAAAATATTGTTTATACTAAAAATAAAAATTAAAAATGTGTTCTTATATAGTGATTAAAACATTACGATAATTTTTGTATAAATTTTATTAAATCATTATGTTAAAACAATTAAGTCAGTTTATTCAAGTAGATAAAATTTAAATATTTATAATAAACTTAGTAGTTTGGACATGGTTATTGATAAAAAAAACATCCTGCATTTGTTATTTTTTTCTTTTCTCAATTATTTTATTAAGAGTCCTTTCTGTTTGTTATTCTCAAAACAACTTATTTTATCAAACAAATGAACCACTTTATCTTTCTTTTTTTTTTGTAAATAATTTTTCACCTCGCACAAATATAAGATACATAGATTTCATATAAAAATCATACTTTTTATACTAAGACAAAACATTCCTGCCTCTCTAAATTAAATTCACTATTAAAAATAAATTAAATAAAAAATCACCTTGTTATGATTTTATTAGGTACTAATAAAATTACTAAATATTTATCAAAGAAAACCCTTTTCAATTCAATCATTCATTTCTCCTAAATTTTTCATACGTGGAAACACTCTATAATAATATTGATTCAAGTGCCTGACAAACCACTTGATGTCCTCTTCTTATCATACCTACAACGTCCTTTTAACTTTCATCTCAAAAATCACAAAAAAATAATCAATTCAATACTTTCAAACTAATACGTGACTCTAGACACTTAATTTGGATTTAAGAAAATCACTCATCCTTTATATAAGTTCACAAGTTAGTTTTATCTCCAATTCCTCAAACATAAACAATATTAAGCAAGTATTTTCTTCCTCAACATTGTTTAGAGAACCGACTATGTTGTTGCATTCGAATTGTATGCCAAAAAAAAAAAAATAGTCCGAAATGCATGCTACCTCATAAAGAGGTCTGTCCGAATTGCATTCTGTGTACTTACAAGTTTATTTATCATGTACTTATATGCGCAACTTAATAATTATGTTAATAAAGTTATGTATATAGAATATATTACATGTATGGCGTTACTGACAACAAAATAAATAAAACAATACTTTTCCAATATTTTTAATAATTACGTTAAATATAATAATATACACAATTATTATTATGTATAATATATTGAGTATTGGAATTATTAATATTTATTTGAAATACCATGTAAAAATGTAAAATACATTCATATAATAAATTACAATCATCTTATTTAATATTTAATATTCACAGTGTTATCTTCTCAAATATTTATATATTTTATTGTAATGTAACTAAAGAACGATCCTTCAGTGGAAAAGTTAAATTATTTTATTTAGTAAAATTATATAGAGTATACAATTTGGACAGACCTCTTTAAGAGATGGCATGCAATTTGGACATTCCAATTTATGTTTATTTGTTTGGCATGCAATTCAGATGCACCAGACTATATTCAGTGTGGCAGAATTCTGAACAAAATGTATTATTTTTTTGTTTCATAATTTCTTACAGGCAATTATTTTTTAGCCAAACTTCATTTTTTAGTAAAACGAATATAAAATAACCCATAGTTTCAAAATTTCAAAGCATTATTACTTTATATATATGTCATGTACTCTCGTATTTATTATTTTATAGAATTATTAATAATATTTGTTAAGATTATCATAATATGGTATTAGTAATTGCTCGTACCATTAGTACTTATCAATTATTGACAAACTAATAGACTGATTGATGCCAATTATAATAGTTAATTATTATGCTACACTATACAGTATTATTTAGCATATAAACTTATATTTTATATCCTATCGTATAACAACCTTATTGATATGATTAAAATTGTTCAACAAATAAAATATTGTTATTGATAATTATATTTTAAAGTTTTGATAGTCAAGATGAAAAGAAAAAACCTTAAAAAAGCTCATCCACCGCGTTGAGGTAAATTCGACGACGAGTTAAAAGATAAGCGCAAAAGCGCAAGTGGATAGACTCGCATTTTATATATTTGTATACGTGTATAATAAGTGCAGGTAATAAAGTTATTCGCACTGATGAAAACTCGGAAAAGCGATGCACACCGGCGCGTCTCTTATTATTGTGGGTTTTCGAACGCGGTACGTGACTTTATAGAAATGCCTAAGTAATAATATATTGTTAAATAAAATAACATATCGGGGAAAAATATCTTCGACGGAATGAATGGTATGCGTTGGCGATGAGAGAGGGGCGTGCGACGTTCTTAAGTCGAGTCAAGATCGAGGGTCTATGATATTATTCAGAGCTGGCCGATAATAACGTTATTATAACAAACTGCGCGAATAAAACACGCCGCAGACAAAGAACCCAATCAAGCGCTAATACACACCACGTCTCTTTTCCACCGGCGGATGCTATATATACACTCACACTTATACATCGGGTACCTTGGGATTTTTATTATTGGATTTGTTAAGATCGCCTACGGAGTTTCCCCCTAGCAGCGTGCGGTAGACGCAGACGCGCATGGTTGACAATTGAACCGGAATTCGGCACGCAACTTATATTTGATCGAATCCCTGCGCATACCCGGTGTACATAATACTGTTATTATTATTATTATTATTGTTATTATTACGTTCCGTATCCGTGGGGTGCGGTCAAAAATAAGAAATTCACTCGGTTTCAGTCGTTTACGGTCAAAAGATTATGATCGTACTCATGAGTGGAAATCGGGTGAAAATTAGCGTGGTCACGTGGAGTTGTAAAGTACTTAAATATTTACTTGGTTTCTTGACAGAGAATATTTAAAATAAATAATACGTTTAGTAAGTGTATACAATAAAATAAATCATTATTAATAAACATAATATATACAAATTGCTGTATAGTGGTAATCGACCGTGGTTTTTCTATAGTATTTTTTTTTTTTTTATATATATATATTATTTAGTTCTAAAATAGTATTAGTTTACACATTCAGTTTATGGAACTTAAGGACTTTTGTGTTTATCTATTTATATTTTATGATATGTATTATCATCATTGGGACAGTCTAAATTTTCGTCCAAACGTGTGACGTGTCTATATTATATTCAATTGTATGTGTTCTATACATATAAGTATATTGAAACATATCAACCCCTAACCCGTGCCATAGTATACGCGTGTTTCATCCGGAAAGCTTTAATATGGAATTTCAATTAGAAAGTTTAATTAACACACATTCGTTTGCGGCAGCACTCTGAATTATATTACGCTTAGACAGAAACAACAATTTTATTCAGAACATACGGTAGTAATAATATATTAGTATAGTCACGTATTATATTATCCTCCTGCTGGAGACTATGTTACCATTTCGAAAAATTTGACAAAATCATTTAATGATTATTGCAGTGTTTTATTCATTAAACTATTGTACCTAAATATGTTAATTCGAATTTTAACAGACGTTAATGAAATTAATCTCGAAACTATGGAGTATGGATAGACGAATCAGTGAAAAACACGAAGTCGTTAGTAAAATATTTCATGTAACACGTAGTTTTATAATAAGTCAAGACGAATTAAAGGAACCAAATGATGTATGAAAACGACTATTATGATGAATAAGATCTTTAAACTATTATCTAAAGTTATTTTATCTTAACTAATTATAATATATTTATTGTTAAAAATGAAAAATTACTTTTAAATTTGTTTTTAAAGTTAATATTTCTTTGTATGAAATGTAAGATATTTTCTATGGTTCGTTGAATGTAGTCAAACATAACTAAAAAGTTTAAAGAACAAAAACGAATTTATCTACTTTTAGTCCGACAAAAACCTAGTGAATTAAGTAGTGAATATTTTCTGTGAAAACAATAAAAAGTGGTTCAATTTTGTAGATTTGATTGAAATTAAAGGACTAACAAAATCCATAAAATTACGGAAACGAACAAATTATTATAAAAAAATCAATTAAAAGAGGTGATAGTGAAAAAAATTACTTCAATATAAATAATATTAAGCGTTATAGGTACACTAACTGCTTGAAAAATCATACGAAAATCTCTTGTTTATTATTTGTTTTTAAAAAACACTATGAATAATTATTTTCCCCTCAATTAATCTTAACGCGCACCGGCTGGTTTTTAGCACTTGTTTTAAAATATTTTCCAGGCTTTTGTATATCATTAATCAATATCAAAAGTCATTTTTATAGCAGCTGTCAATTAAAATATTGGCTGTACATTGTTTTGGGCATTTTTCGTGGTGAAATGAGGCGAAAAATTGGTGGAAGTGATTTTAACACTTACTGTACGTGACACCGTTGGTTGGAGCGGACATTTCTTTCTCTATCCAACACGTGTACGCGCTACGACTGTTATTTATAAGAATTGTATTGTAAAAGAAAAAAAAATTATTGTTTACACTGCAGACAAAATCATTGCCACCTTTGTGGTTATTATGTTATTATAGTCTTTTTTTTTTTTTATATGATTTATGCCAATTTCTTATTATTTTTCAGATTTTATAGTTACGTTAATGGCTATAATTATAACTATGAAATCATTTTCGAGATACTGATTAAGTCGGTACAATAAATATACTGAAAATACATTGTTTATTGGACACAGTTTATTATTGCTTATTGATCGATTATTTATTACCTTGTACTTTCCCAAATTGTTCACCGTGCACGTAAAGTATATGTCTCGGCCTTGGGTCACCGTCCAATTTTCCAGTGGCGCATAAAATTCAGGCATTATTTCGTCTGGTTCATGCATTTGACCTGCAACATAATATACACCATTTATTCATTACACGTTTCATTTAACTTGCTTATGAACATTTATTGGACAGAAAATATTATGTACGAATAGAAATAGAAATCTATTCCTATAAAATAATCCATGTGATATTATTATTTTATGATCAAATAAAAAACGTATCACTTTAAAATTCTATTCAACGTCCAATAGAGAAAACATAATTTATCTAGTCCAAATCGTTATTAGTTCACAAAAGTTCGTCAATAAATATTATACATTTGATTTGATTATATAATTAATATTTAATTAATGGTTGTTAAATAGAAATTATTTTCTATTAATAAATATTTTTGATTAAAATATTATAATTTAGTAATCTGTAGTTATAATTTTAATAAAAATTAATCTATTCTATAAAAATAATGTGTTTTTCGTTAATAGTAATTTATTAAAAATCATTCTGAGAAATATTGGAGATGCAAAAACTGATTGTTTTGTTAAACGTTCCCAATATAAAAGAAACTAGGATTTTTCAATATATAATTCTTCACTCAACTATTTTTAACTACTCTTTATAAAATAAAATTTAATGTTGTTCCGATAATTGTTTTTCCGATAAAATGGAAACTTAGTGTATAGGTAACTGCACAATAGTTTATAATGAAAACTTAAATACCTTCTTATAATAATATTAAACAGCTTAGTCGTCATAATCGAAACGGTGAATTTAAGGTTAGCCATTATTTAATAGTTTATTAAATTTCATCGTATATACAGGTACTTAGATGACAAGTTACGTTCATTGGTTTGGATATCAATAATAGCGTGGATATCGTTCAAAAGCTACCTACAAGCCGATCTAACAAAATAGTTCATACACCGTTACGGTCAACATAGGTCATAATAAAACCGCAATAAACAAAAACATCGAAAATGACAAATATGTTTCCAAAGTTATAGTTTGATTTAGTATGCGTGATTAAAGACACTATAGTATGTGTACCGCTCATGTCGTATTCAAATTAAATTTCACAAAAAGGCATTCTCATCAAATTACCAGATAGAAATGCCACTAAGCAAACAATAAACTTACAATAAAATGGGATGGGATCACTGCCGTCCAAGTACTAAATAATTCGTTAGACGTTGAATTAACTTCAATGTTATGACCGCAACAAAACGTAATGAACCGTTTCTCGTGCATTGTGCAGGTTGTGGCAATCACGAACCAGGCAGATTATTAATATCATGAGATTACGCGATGCGGACGATACGAAATCTTTAAGACTGTAATCAGACAAATTCTGTATGGGATTGTTACGACACGCAAAATGTATACAGGCAACGTATCTTCGCTAATTTATATACGGTACGTTCGCAATGTATCATTCATTCCTAGTAACTTTTCGCATAACGTAGACCTAGTGTAATATCCGTGGTTTTACGGTAAATGCATTTAGAAAACCTCAAACAATATTTATTGTCTATTTAATTACAGAGCATATTTACGTATATACATTGCATAACCGGTGAATAACAACTAAACAGACGGATATAGATAGAGAATACATTTTTAGGTTATTAATATTAACTTATTACATATTTGAATAAAATTGTTTATTTTTTAATGACAGAATGAAACAATCAAAGTTTATTGTTCATTTGAAATAATATTTTAACGTTAAAAATATATTTACCGTTTATATGTACGAGTAGTTTATTTTGATTAATTCCAGAATGTTTAAAAAAAATTGTATTTAACTGTTTTATGTTCTTTTGTCGACAAAAAATAATTTTAAAAACTTTTATAATTAACTATGTGGTAATATTTAATTTTCTCAGTTGCACCTTAACCTTAATTTTCCGATATCAAATATTTATAATAAGTATCTCATTATGATTGATATAATTTCTTGAAAAACGATTATCCTATGGATTACACCATTAAGATAGTATAAATGAAAATTAATTTATATTTTGAATTTTATTTTATGTTTTTATATATTTTATACTGTGAAAATCAACAAGTTTAAAATGAATGGAAAAGGATGGCAGCATTACATTTTTTTTTGTACTTTTTCTATAAAACCTATTTATTATACGGTGACGTGTTAAAATTAGTTAATACCAATGTCAATGTTAATCTGCTGTGTGTCGTTATGAACAATTTTAAGGAGCCGAAAAAACATATTAGTTTAAAAACAATGCAAGTATCGATTTAATAAAATCCATGGGTATCATAAACATTGCTAAATTGATATCTACTAAAAATAGTGCTCAAGTTCCAGATTATTTTTTATAAACTATGATTGTTAATATGTGAAAAATTCCTCAACAGCGTATGAAAAACATTTATTAATTGTGTACAAAAACATTTTTATTACGTGAAGAAACCAGAATATTGTAAACAATTGTTTTACTAAAAATATTTTTAATGATTATAATTTACTAAAAAAAATTTATGATTTTTAAGTAATTTATAAATATAAATGAATGTATAAAACACATAATGAAATGAATCTTATCTCTCAATAGTAATATAAGGCTCAATTGTTGAAACATTTTTCTTTACATAAACTATAATATAATAAATAAACATGATACATCATGCCACTAAATGGAAGCCTTTGATAATTTCAAAGGCAACTTTTACGAGATTTTTGTTGAGCTTGTGTCGTATATACTTGTTAAATCTATAAAATAGGGTTCATGGAAACTTGTATAAACCATAGTGTTCTATTGAGGTTTTCTTCAAAAATGTGAAATTTTTAGTCACCGGTATGTTAAAATAAAGACTAATAGATTAAACAATGAATCCCATTCGAAACTAAAAACGATGTTAACACATACAATTTGTGAAAGTTTTTAGATAGTAGTATTTAGTGAAAGTATTAAAAATAAATAAATAAATAAATAAAAATAAAATTACTTGAAAAAAGATTCATGAATTAGAATTTCATAAAAAATGATCCATTTAATCGATTAACATTATTTATAGTTGCTTAAGTTAATACAATCATGTGTAACACTCAAAAATAAATAAATATTTAGTAATTATGTTATTAAAAAAATTTCTTTAGATAGTAATACTATTGATAACGACAAGATTATTAATATAATATAATAAATAGAAGTGAAATACAAATCTGCAAAGTATAGTTTTAAATAATCTAAATAAAGAATTGATTAATATTTTTTTGAAAAATATACTAAATACTATTATAATAAGTACTGAGATAAAAAAAAATATACTTTTTTTTATATTTATTATTTTTAATTGTTTCAATATAGACAATATTTATTATTTTGCAATGTAATTTATATTTTATTAAATTTAAAAGCTTCAAAATTATCGTAATTGTTTTCCAACAAAACATGGCCACACTAAACACAATTGGATGTGATAGATGAAAATTAAATTGTACGTTTCATCCAATCCAAAATTAAAAGTATATTTTATAGTTATGCAATTTATATATTTATATTAAATAAATCTATTAACTTAAATTGTAAATTTATTAGTGACACTCAAAAAATGAATAAATAAATAAGTATATTTGCTAACAAACTTCGAATATATTTATTTTTTTTATAATCCCAAAAGAGTATTATCAAAATAAATAATAACAAAAGTCGTACGTAGGTACATATTATTATCTTGAACAAAATGTGCAATGTATAAAACTATTCTTTTAATACCCGAGGTATTTAAGAAATTACATAGCCGCCTGCAATGATTTAGAGTTTAAACTATATACGGTTGATATGCACAGCAGTTAACAGATTCGTCAAAGAATACGAGTATAATAACCGGTAGATTCACGACAGCAAAGTAGTATATTGGAGACAGTGTTCAGAGTGAATTGTAGAATATAATATAACATGTTACCAGCATGTTTGGATGGTAACATTCTATAGAATTGCTATGCTTTCTATATCATTCATTATATTATTTGGCAATGTATTAAATTTGAATGTTTCTTTTAATTTAAACTAAACCTTTAGGTAGTCTATTCAATACCTAGAAATTCTATAGAATTCTAACGCTCTTTTAGGTAAAGTATAAATTTATATTATATTACCTAATGTCATATGTTTTGAATGAATGTTAAATTTAATACGTTTGATTTTATTAATTTAATTTATTTTTGACTATGTTCATAATTTTTTTTTATATTAACTGCTTATTTTTTTATTTATTTCAGCATAATATATTGGTTATTAATGGAGGATGATACATGATATTTCGAATCGCACAAAACACTATTCTTTTATACATCTTTTAGATTTTGAGCGGAGCGATAAATATATTAATTTTACAATAATGAGTGTTTTTTATTTTTTGTGTTTGTTATCACCTTTTGAAGTAATAAAAATGCCTTGATTTTCAACTTTGAGGGTGGATTTTAGTAGTTAATTAGATTTAGTTGGTGTAATTTAAAAGAAGGAATAATGTAGATATTTGAAATTTTTCATATTTTTATAATTTAATTTTCTATACACAATAAATTGTTCAAACTATTTTGATAAATTCTGAGCTATTTATAGATATTTAAAATTTTCAATTATACTGAGATTTTTTTTCTATAAATGTTGAAAAAAATGTTTTACAGGGTCAAAAAGATATAAAATATAATGCAAAATTCTTTGTAAGTATCGACTAGATATAAAAATATTAAAGATATCAAACATATGTTGGCCTTATTATTTTTTTATAAGCTTTTAAAATGAATATTTTAGTAAAATTTGTCAAAATCATGAAAATTTGGAAATCACTTTGTTGTTAAAAATGTACACAATTTTCAATTTTTGTATTTAAGGATTTAAAATTGAATTAAAGGTTTCTCACAAGTAGTTCATTCTATCACCATAAATTTGAAAACTTATATAAACACAGTTTTTTTGTTGAAATTATAAGTTAAAATTTTGACGAAGTAAAAATTTAAACGAAGAATATTAATTTTATTTGTTTTATTTTTTTGTTATTTAACAACATTATTCATGAATACTTGAAATGTTT